AAACAAACAAACAAACAAACAAACAAACAAACAAACAAACAAACAAACAGAAGAATGTGGGCAATCTCACTGGTGGCTAGCTTAATCTTAAAAAATAAAACAACCAGTGGTGGGCAGCGCTAATCCAAAAATTAGCTCCGCAATTTCTAAAGCGCTTCTGAATATACTTAGGTCCGCAACTTCAAAAACACTTCTGTCYCAGAAAAATTAGCGGAAGCTAATTTTAAAGCACAATTTGACACTTGCTAGCTGACAATTCATGTACAATATGTAAAATACTGCCAACTAGCAGTGTTTGAACCCTTGTACAGCTTAATCCTTCAACTGCCGATTGCTGGGGACCTGATTTCCTGAACCAGAACTTTGGCTCATGGTGTAAAAATTAAAACATTGTTGAGGATTGCTAGTTCAGCTGCTTCTTTATCTTTTTCTTTTGTTTGTTGTAGATTTTTCATTAAAGCATCAATTAAGTAATTTTAAAACCATTTATTGGAAAACTGAAGTGATGCATTCTGGGTACATGACGGACTGACGGGAAACGAAAGCACGGGGAACAGGGAACTAGTATCCTCCCTTCAAAATAAGAGCTTGGATTTTAAAGTTTTTCATGTTTCCATTGGATTTTAAAGTTTTTCATGTTTCCATTGGATTTTAAAGTTTTCCAGTTCACCTGAAACTCATCAGACTGAAGAAGTCTCTTGGAGAAGAGACAAAATGTTTCACCAAAGAAGAACCCATCCAGAGGACCTATTATTTTTTCTTTTTGATTTCTTTCTACGTGGATTAGGACGTTTTCCATGCAGTTGCTCCAGTTGACCACTAGATGTCAGTCTTCACCAGCATAACATCTTTAAATCATTTCTAAGTCTCTAACACCGTTGGCCGAATGCTTTTGAGCTCCAGCGTTTGAACTTTTTTTTTTTTAAGGAGCTCCGATTGTAAAGTAAAATGAATCAATACATACAAAATTTTAGTATGGATTACAAATGTTTACTGTTTTTGCTATTGCCTTCCTGCTACATAAGCAGACACAAAGCATTGTGGGAAATCAGAACTGTGGCCGAATGCAACAGTCCGCAAGGATGTATACCTTCCGAATAAGTGTATCTGGGAAGGGTGCTGTGCACAAGTGTTGTGATTCATTGACAGCCATACCTTCCGCTGTTCAAGATAATGATGACTGGTAGATAATTAGTTATTAGCYGTATTTTAATTCTATAAGTGCAAATCCACTTATGAATTATAATAATTATTAAGTCCGCTAAAGTGCAAATGAAATATTTAGGTCCGCAATTAGCAGATTTGCGCTTTAACGGGCTAGTGCCCACCACTGAAAACAACTTTACTTAATAAGTATTTGCATTTAATGTAGTATATTATAGCATTTGGCCCACAGCCCTCAGATTGATTTTAATTTTAGCCCTCCCAGGGAAAATGTGTGGGCGCCCCTGGATTAGAGAAAATGGTGGATTTGTACCAGTTTTGGTCAAACCTTGAGTAAAAACACTGAACATAACATTGAGCAATATCAGTATATGTTGGGAATGACTCCCACCTATTACCACTTTAAATTTTACCTCAATATCTGTAACATTGCATGAGTTATAAACATGTTGGCTAAAACTGATTAGCTGTGGCGGCCTTTTTGAATTTGACAGACAGATTTATTCAAATCTGGCCAGTGAGTTCGTGAGATGTTGCACTAACACACAAACAAGGCTGACTTTGATGGTTGATGCTAAAGCATTTGGCGTATTTGTGGCAAATAACTCCCAGCTACAACAATTTTTAGCWCAATATCTGTAAAACAGAGTTTGAAAAGCTGCATACCGAAACCCTTCATAGCTTTCCTCAGAGCTTGTGCGTCGGCCACTGGGTCAAAACCAGAAGCAGGGCGGACTGTGGGCCTGAGCTGAGGGAGTGGAAACAATAACATCAGGAGAATGATCAATAATAACTGCACACAAAAACGTAGCAGAAACAGTTCTTGGTTYTAGGGGGTGTCCAATCCTGGTCCTGGAGGGCCACTATCCTGCATGGTTTAGAGATTTCCCTCATTTCAATTAACAAGCAATCAACGGGCTTCTGCAGAAGCTGGAGACCTACTGAAGAGCAGGGAAACAACTAAAACATGCAGGATAGTGGCTCTCAAGGACCAGGGACAGGAATTAGAGCCAAAACAAGCCAGTCTGCAGAACATGCAAAACAGAAACATTCAAATTATGGTTTGTTGCTCAGAGATTATTGAGCAGATTACAGCTGAAACAGCACTCTGAGTTTTATGATAATATTCTCGTGACATTTGAGAGGGCGGGAGAATGGCAGGCTGAGAAACAGCTRGGTTAGTGAGGCAGCCTTTTGTTTGCAGCAACGCTGAGACCTTTCTGACATTCAAGTGGAGGTCTGAAGAGGGGGATCTCAACAGAAACATTTTGTATTTCAAGCAGGGCAGCAATCCTGACCGCATCCAAAGTGAAACAAAACCACGTCCAGTGCAGAAAATGGCTTCTGCACAAGCTTGTGAAGSAGCAGAGTCGTTGTGAAGCCAGCAAGTGTTCCGGATTCCAGACATCGCCAAGCCAAACATCATGCAACGACACATCTAAAGTGCGAGTGGACGGGAGTCAAACCTGCACTTTGGTCATGGCACTTAATTCCCACATCTTGTAGGCTATCTGAGCGGCCTCGGGGAAGAACTCTCCAGCTAAGCTGAAATGATCAATTTGACACAACAAAGCAAACTCAGCAAAGCCAAATGTTGAAGCTGAAGATCTTTGACCTCAGAAAACTCCCCACTGCTGAGAGTCGATCCTCTGTCGCCCCCTGCTGGTGACTGCTGTTGCCTGCAGCCGACACTGTCACTTACTCATCGTCTCCTCCACACAGATGGAGCAGTGTCCTCTTGTAATCTCCTGATGTGTCATCCTAAACCACACACAATGAAGCAAAATTATTAGCAGGGTGCTGCACTTTTTTATTTTTATTTTTTATTTTTTTGAAAATCTGACTTTAGTTGGTTTCAGACCTTGATCATGTTGTAGAGAGACTTCTCATACTGGAGGCGGAAACACTCTCGGATATCCAACATGTCTATTTCAGACCGAGAAATCATGATCCGGATCAGAGTGTTGTCAGCTGTGCCAAGACCCTAAAAAAGTAATAATAATTCACTTCCATACTGAAGGACAAAGTGACGTTGCAAAAATTTAAACTCACATTTAACATATGTCCTGATGCATCTCAGTAATYCACGTAGAAAAAACCAAAAAAGAAAAAATAAGTAGGTCCTCTGGATGGGTTCTTCTTTAGTGAAACATTTCGTCTCTCCTCCAAGAGACTTCTTCAGTCTGATGAGTTTCAGGTGGACTCAGCCTTATAAGCACTGCCTCCACATAGACAAACAGGTTAGTCACATGCAAAAAAAGGTCATCGCTTAACAATAGGCTTGATTAGCTCTATTGTTCATAGAGGGTCAAGTGCCCCATCACCTGACTTATTGGTTTGGATGCTGTGGTTCTTAGGTGTCGTGTGATGTTTATGTAGTGAATGCAGGCAGTCAGGTGATGGGGCACATGAACCTCTATGAACAATAGAGCCAATCAAACCTATTGTTATGCAATGACCCTCTTTTGCATGTGACTAACCTGTTTGTCCATGCGAAGGCAGTGCTTTTAAGGCTGAGTTCACCTGAAACTCATCAGGCTGAAGAAGTCTCATGGAGGAGAGATGAAACGTTTCACTAAAGAAGAACCCATCCAGAGGAAACTACTTATTTTTTCTTTTTGATCAAATTTCACATAGACTGTATTCCCTCTATAGTATAAAAAAATTATAAATCAGAAGAATTGTTCTGATGACGCTCATTCTGTCTGCAGCCATGATGGAAACAGATAAAATTACGACTCGTGTTTACCTTCATGGACTTGTAGAGACGTTTGGCAAAGAACATGGGAACGCTCCTGATGCACTGAACTGAAACACACCAGAAACAAGTCCTGGGTTAAATAAACAACTCTACCTTTTTTTTCTGTGTGGCAATAAAATGGACATTTCGCAGAGTTTTSTCTTACCTACAGCCAGCATCAGTCTTTCAAAGTCTCCAGACAGTTCACTCTTAATGCTGTCCTCGATGGACACCTCTGCAATCTTCTCATATTCATCAAAAACTAAACAAACAAAGGAAGAGAGGTGGTGTTGCTAAACACAGCATCTCAGCTAGAARACACTCAGAGTTTAGAGATTGTCCSATGTGCAGAGGTGTGTTGCATTAAGRTGAGATGGCTCAGAATTATCTTTTTAAAAAAGTGAAGCACAATTTCCTGTGTCAATGCAACTTCATCAGAAGAAGTCACTTGTTTTTTATCTGTCATTCGTGAGATGTTTTTACTGATGACTGTTTAAAATGTGCCTCAGACTCTGGAAGGACCTGAGGTCACAGTCCTGAACACCTCTCTGCCTGTGGGCTCACCCATACGGAGGTGGTTCACGCTGCGGTTTCCCAGGATCGTGATGAATTTGGCCTCGTCTGTCCCCCACTGCTCCTCTCCCGCTGCATACAGGTCCTGCACACGAGTGAGAACACAGAACAGAAGAATTAATTAGGATAAAAAGTAATAAAGAACACAGTTAATATATTCAAGTTCAAGATTAGTATTTTGAATGGATATTTTAATAAAAGGTTGATGCTGTCTTTGAGCCACTTGTCATGGTCCCTGCATGGTTTTAAGATTAAGCATGGCCTCATCTACTCTATTATAAATGCTTATCAGTGTGCATTGCCAATGCAATGCAAACTATTGTGATTCGTTTCCCATCAAAGTCATCTCAACTTTGCCATGCTTCTCCTCCTGCATACTTTGTTCTAGAGCTGCCATTGTAATTTTTATCTGTAAACTCCCGTGCCAAATGACGGCTATGCCTTTTGGTGCCTGTAAAACTTATAGTTTATGAAATATTAATGTTTAATGAATTATAATGGCAGTCAATGGAGCCTTGTATTGGTCAAATACTGCCCCATGCTGTACTCAACTTGGTACTGCACCATAGTTTAATATTTCAACTCAGTAGTCCAGTGTTTACAGTACTAATATGATTGTATTTTGATGTTTTACTATAATATTGTCTTGATACTGCTCGATTGTTGTAATATTATGCATTTTTGTGTCAATAATTGTWTTGGCAATGTGGCCTCTTTCTGCACACATACAAATCAACCCCTGCCACCATCTTCTGCCACAGGTCTATTGGTTTAATGGTCTATGTCATGGACTTTCTTGTGGGAGATCAGGGTTCAAAACCCAGCTAATGCAACTTTAACAAAAAATCTCTTCGAATTTCATATTGTCACAAAATTACATTAATTACAAACACCTGCTGATGTGGCAGACACAAGCTGGTATAGAAAACATATTTGAACTTGGTCAAAGTTCATTCTGCAAGTCCAATGCTGCAGGCAAAGCCATGTTGCAATGACATGCTACATGGCAATGCACACTTGTTTTTACATTGTAAAAACCTGTGTCTAGTTTCAACAGTCATCTATCTGGCCCAGTTTTGGCCCACACAAGGCACTAACATTCTAACACTTGGCCCAGATACTCAGTAAGTACTTTTATTTGTATAGCACTTTTCACAGTCAAGCAGCCACAATGTGCTTTACAATATAACAAAATAGCACACAACAGAGCATGAAAAATACAGTTACAAACAATAAAGCATAAAAAAGACAACAATAAGATGCATTCAGCCACGTTAAAAGACTGCTTAAAAAGATTTTTCAACAGCTTTTTTGAAAAAAATCTCCACTGAGGCCACAGCTCCTAGAGATTGAAGTAATTCGTTCCAAAATTTAAGAGCCACAACCAGAAATGCATCTCTTTAGTCAGGACCAAGGAAAAAGTAGCTGATTGGAGTTACTGAACCATAAAGTATCTCCTTTTTTATGCCTTCATTCACCTTTAATCATGCAACAAACAAGTGCTGAATGGAGTCAACGTTCAGGGAAATATAACGTCTTAAAGTTCTCACTTGTGCGTCCAGCTCCACCAAGTCTGCGTCAACCACTCCGGACTCATCTCTGGTCCCCTGGAGCATAAAAAAAAAAAACAGGTCAAGGCTTTGGAAATAAAGTCTGTTTAGAAGACTGGGTAAAAAACTGCTGATATCTGACCTGAAGCAGAACAATCAGCATTTTCTTAAAGTGGCCTGAGGTGTCTGCAATAATATCCTCCTCTATGTCCCTGTCGTACGCTGGAAACACATACACATCGATGAAAAATGGCCGCCAGCTGCAAACACAACCTCTGTCTACTAAAAAGACAGATGCCTTACCATCCTTGTAAGCTGCAACCATCTCGTGGATRTGTCTGTTGTTTCTGGACGCCAGGATCTCAATCAGACACCTCTCYTTTGTTCCAAGCCCCTGAAACAAACAAAAAAACAAAAAGAAAACCCYTGAAGTTAAATTTGAAGCAGCTTCAGATGAAGCTGACTGTAGGGCTTACTTTGACGGCATCATGGATTTCCTTGGCATCGTGGTAGGCTGGGGTTCTCATCAGGCTCACGATGAGACGCTCAAATTTCCCCGTGAGCTCATATTTCAGATCTTCAATCAGATCCTGATAAAAAAAAATATTGTGCATTTAAAAACAAACAACACCCTGTAATCAAAGTTACAGCTCAGTCAAGCTATGCATGGGGAAATACAAAATATGGACCTGTCCAAAACTGCATTTGTAAGCWGCGATGACTTCCTGTCTCTGAGCGTTGCTTCGAGAGGTGATCAGGTCCAAGATAGTTTCTTTGTCGCTGCCTGGGGACAGAGCAAAATCAGGCCCAATGAGAAAAACACTAACTTTGACAGTCGAGTTAAGGTTTCAGAGCGAAACACCACCCTCACGTCTCAWTGCTCAACGGTCACAGAGAAGTGAGGAACTCACCGATGCCTTTCATGGCATTGTAGAGAGTCTCAGCATCAGCAGTCGGATCAAAGTCCGCAGCATCAGCTATCGTGCCTCGGAACACCTGGAAGAAGCACAACATGACAATATTAATGCTTTGCTATACAGTGAAACGTAGATGGTTAGAGCAAAAAAAAAAAAACAAGTCCTGATATCTAGAGTTTYAAAACTGGTGAAGAACAGAATAATGTGTAGATGAATTAAAAGTAGATCATACAATTTGATACAATACTTTCTACAGGTCTGTTGCTTTCATGCAGGTTTAATACTTTGATTCTTGTTTGGTTCTGCTACCAGCATATTACATGTACAGAGTGAGTCAAAAGTCACAGGACACCCCTTTATTTCAGAGAGAAAAGGGAAAAGGACATATCTGAATACCCCAGAAAGAAATGGGTGRGGAGGTCTATCCATGAGGCTATGTCCAGAACTTGGTTCCCATCTCGAAAACCACCATATTGCATCAAAATAATAGGGCGTCCTGTGGCGTTTGACTCACCCTGTWGGATGAGCTCAATAATTTCTTGACAACTACAACAAATCTGACAAAACACCTGCAGGTCTTTGCACCTGTCCCAGTTGCAAACAAACTTTTCATTCATCATAATAAATATTATTAATTTGGACTTATAGAATTGTGCTGCTCAAGATGGCAGCACGTTGGAGTTGCTCTCTTACATTCGTTCTACAATATTCTTTTTAAAAGTGTGTAATTCCTCTTTTGTTGGATAAAAATGCCTTTTTCCCCTCAAGTATTAGATGCTGTGGAGCTGGAAAGAATTTTGCTAACATCTTTTTTTTTTTACTTTTGGACATTATGATGCATAACCAAAGCAAGAAGGTGCTTTGTTATAACGGGGGGCAGCTGATTAACACCTCAAAAGATCAAGTAACACTTCAACTACAGCCCCCAATCCCAGAGGAGTTGAAAAGGAGGCGCTGTGTGGAGGCAGAACAGGAGCAAAGAGGAGAGAGAACTGAGGAAGTTCAAATCGTATCTATGGGAAGAAACTTGTGCCAGCAGAAACTGAATTAGAGTTGCTCAGATTGAATCTGTATGTGCATAATTTGAAAATGAATGCATTGTTTTGAAAATGAATTTCACTAAAGTGAAACGGAATTTAATGATTTGAAACTGAATTTAAAGTTTCGAATTTGAATTATTTGCTTTGAAATTGTATTTTGTTTTATTAAAAATTCAGTTTGACTACTTTCACTTTCAGTTCTATGATTCAATTTAAGTTCCAAAATTCAGATTTTTGTGTCACGCGTCCTTGAGAAAGCCAGAGTAATCAAACACAGATCCAAAGGTTTACYTTTCACATCAGTGAAGCTTCTCTTCCGTAATGTATCAGKGTTGATGCAACCCACTGTAAAAGTGACAAAAAACAGACAGGTTTTTTATWGCAGTGAGTAATTTTACCCATAGAAAACGTCACAGGGAGGACTGAATCGTCTGTCGGAGCTTTGGGACCAGGGAGGAGCTCACAGCAGAACCTGCTGACCACTGAAGATCTGCGTTCATGTCAAGAGTCTCTCTAACCCCCTCTGCGTGGTCAAATCAGAGTCTGTTCAGTTCTGGTCTGTTTGGTTCTGCTCAGGTGTACTGTGTCTCCAGAACTACAGGCGGATCATCAGCACGCGCCGTAGAGTCAGGACTTTTTTTTTACTTMTCTCAGTACTGTTTAAGACTGCATGTATAACCAACAAGAGGTCAGTTAAACCTCCCAGGGTATCTGCTCATCAGGGATGGAGGGTTCCAGACRGGTCTCAACTCCGTCCTGCTCCCTCCAGCCAGGCTCCAGCTCAGACTGCATGCACTGGTCTCCTGCAGCCTGCATCTCTCTCCAGGAAAAGTCTCAATTACGCACATAAAGATTCAATCTGAGCAATTCAAAATCAGTTTCTGCTGGCACAAGTTTCTTTCCATACATGTCTTCCATTGATCATGATGATGGACAACGTGAGATCTTCAGGGAACAAGWTGAATGACCTCCAAGCCCTAACAAGGACCCAGCCAGAGAATCAGGAATGCAGTATTATGTGTTTCATGAGACATCATCATGATYTCATAGAATGATCAATTGAACTTATTCAGGCTCCGCCCATTTCAAATGATGACGTCGTGGAATACTGGCCAGTGTATATTGCCTAGAAACAAGGCTCACAGAATGAAAAATTAATTAATTAATTAATAATAAATAAATAGATAGATAACAAATAAATAAATAAATAAATAAATAAATAGTGTTTTTATTTACCAAGAATACAATGTGAATGCTGAGTTGTTTGTTTTTAATCAGTTGACGTCTAGAACAATTCTGTCTGAGTTCTTAGCAGGTTAAACTTGAAAATTAAAAGATCCAAGTTGAAATAAATTTTTAAATATGACAGCCTAAATTTATTATTAGAATAAAAGATGAAGTGTGCATGTAGTGTGACAAGTGTCACTCATAGAAAAACAGAAGTGGTTATTGAATTTACAAGCCTTGAGAACTGATACCAAGATGTCTGCTGATATCTCTTATCATCACATCATTATTTTCACACACCATCAAGTACACATACAAATAGAAAACCACAACTTAATCTACAAACATCCTGATGCATCTCAGTTACCCAGGCAGAAAAAATAAGGTTAAATATGTTTTCATCTCTCATCCAAAACACTTCTTCAGTCTGGGGTGTTAAAGGTAAACTCAGCCTTAAGCAGTGTTTCCACGTGGTGGACAAACAAAGACCATCAACCCAACAATTGCTCATTGGTGCCCTGATTATCCAGATTATTCACAGAGGGCCATCAGCCTAACGATCGATAGTTAGGATGTGTAAAACAAATCAAAACAGGATGTGATGAATCAAATCCTTTTCAACCTATAATCAACTGAATGTGATAATTAATGTTCAAAAAGATAAACTTTATTAGTTTTTAACAAAGGTCCACTCATTCTGTTTTTATACATGTTTTACACAACGTCCCAACTTTATCAGAATTGAGGTTGTAGAACTCAAACTCTTTGTGTAGAGCAGAATGTTGGTGGGGAAGGAAGTTGTTTGTTTCTGTGTGTGTTTATAATGATTAGTGTCACTGTGTGCGTTACTTTTTGTGTCTATATATGTGTGTGTTTGTGTGGTGGTGGGGGTAATGTTAGGTCTAAAAGTTTCAGGAAAAGCGAGCAGCTTCTTTAGTTGTTGAGGCAGAAAATAGAGAGTGGAGATGGGATTTTGTTTATCTTTGAAAACAAGATTTTAGATCTGACTTAATTTCATTTGCTTTTTTTGTTCAAAACCAGAAGTTCCACTGTTTGACCAGGGGAATTTGTAAACACCATAAGCAGTGAGGGCCAAGTAGTATATATAATTTTTCTGTATCAGTATATTTCATGGTGTTCAGTATGTAAAAAAAATAATAACATCAACAATAAAAGGGCAGTACAATTTGCAAGTATGATCTCAGATAAAGTTCACCTCAAAGAGTTTTGTCACTGTTCTACCTCTCAAGAAATACTGTATATCGCAAAACAATTTTATGTTTTTATAAGTATATAAAACTGCACATCAAATGGCTGGAAAACGCATAGTTTTCAGTAGATTGTTTTCATATTTTTCTGAGGGGGTATGCTTCTGGACCAWAGGATCACACTGCACCGCTAATGCTTGCTAATACATATAGGTGTTCCACATTGCCATCAGCAAATGTTGGCAGGTGTGCTGGTGACATACAGAGACACAGCAATGAGAAATAATACAAATATTCATAATTTTTTATTTTAAATGGAAAATATAAGTAAGTAAACTTTTTTTATATAGACGAACATCACAACGTGCATAACACAGACCAAAATAACTCAAAACAATAAAAACAGGTTACAAATATAATGAAAAATAGTAAAAAAAACATTTAACCAAAAGCCTGATTAAAAATGTCCAAAGATTTTTCTTAAAAGAGTTTATAGTACAAAACATTTAATTTTTTATTGTTATTTATTGTTAGTTTGGTCTTTTTTTTAAAGACAAGAGAGACTCTGTGTCCCCTGCCTCCAGTGACCCGTYTATCAGGCGTGTGTATGTGTGTGGGTTGTCGGGGTCAGGTTACATACAGACCACCTGTCTTTAGAAAGTCTCGACACAGCCTACAATAGCGTGAGAGATGCAGTACGAGAGGACATGTTTTAAAATACACAAGTCAGACTCTTAAAACCAACGTGACCCGAGGKTCTTTCTTTTGCCCCCATATTAGTGACAGTATGAGCTCACTTCCTGTGGGACAAATACTTGGCTCGAGAATTAATGACTTCTACACTCAAAACAATAACATGCAGAAAAGAAAAGTGTCTTTGTTTTCTTTTTTTAGAATAGTTTGTGTCTCATTTCTTAGATTGGACCTCTCTGGACCAGCCTGGGCCTCGGGACAACAAAAGACTTGACCGCAGTCATTAGAGACCGACCTGGCAAACCCCAACATACAGAGTTACAGTTTTTCATTCATCTYTTATCTTGACCCACTTTTCCTCTCTGGATCACAAGGAGTTGGGGCCCTGATCCAGCAGTAATGGTGCGAGAGGTGGGATTWCACCCTGGACACGTCACACGTCCATCACAGGGCCAGAGACAAACAACCATTCACTCTCACACATAGGGACAAGTTAAGTTCCCAGTTAACCTTTCAACATGTTTTTGGTTTGTAGAAAGAAACCAAAGAAAACTCATGGATGCACAAAGAAAAAAAATGCAAACTCCACCCAGAAATGTGCCAGGTCAAGTGTGCCAAGATGTGATCCTACAACCTTTTTGCTGTGAAGCCATCTATTAACACCACCATTACAATAATCCAGTTGGGAGGTAATAAACATGTGAATCACTTGTTCAAAGGCATTAAAAGATTAAAATAATTTCTCTTTAGAGAAAAGCCTTAAAGGGGCAATATCATGTAAAATCAACTTTGTTGAGTTTTATATCATGTTATAATGTTATACTCTCATAAAAAACATGCCCAAAGCCTTGCTTTGA